TTTTAATTTTTTTTATTTCCATATATCATATCATTACATGACATAAAAAATCAGACTCCTAATGAGTTCTCTTTCTGCAGGTGTGGTTTGACAGGAGAACCAATTACACTCGCTCCCTCGCTGTGATGTCCATGGTTGGATATATCCTAGGACTTGGAGACAGGTCCAGACAGTCATGCTTATGACAATATTTACACCTAAAACAATTTGTACCACAGAGCTGTTGAATTCTGTATTCTTACTGGTCAGAAGGTGTTGATTAATTTTCTATAACAGTGGCTCTGACAATAGCTCCGGCTGTAAGGCATATCACAAGGTTTACATCAATGTGCTTGTTCTAATACATTAGAATTTACACTTGACTTATATGCTCCACATGAATTGATTAAAAAATAAATAAAGTGGGCTATCACTTATGTGGTGAAGATGTGAGGAGACTTGTTTTTAGAGAGCTATTTTAAGTTGTTTTAGTTGTTTTTGGAAGGAGTCTCTAATGTTAGCCATAGACAACCTGCCCATAACACTTTGGGATGGATGTGCTGTTATGGAAGAATAATTAACTTGAGGGTGGCAACACTTCATGTCGCGCACTTCACACCACCCCATTGTTGATTAGGTTTCAGCACACCTGGTGATGTTTTATTCCAGAATTAAGTCACATTTAAACACGCTGTAATTTATGGTCTTTTATTACATACACAGACATCCTTCTAATCTGATGCTGGACAGGCTGAGTGGAAAGATCCTTCACATCGACTTTGGAGATTGTTTTGAGGTAAAATGTTTCCCAAATTTTACAACACAACAGTGTAAGGTGGTTGTAATTGTGTAATTGTGAAATGTAATTGTGGTTTTGCCTACAACTGAAATTTGTATTTGTATTTAAGGTTGCCATGACCAGAGAGAAATTCCCAGAGAAAATCCCCTTCAGGTTGACTAGGATGTTGACTAATGCCATGGAGGTAAGAAACGTGACACACAGGGTTAAATGGTGTGATTACTGTACAATCCGATCCGATATCACTGCGGCGATACCCTATAGTACCTGTTTACAGCATTGTATTTTCAAACCAAACGACACTAAATGACAACACTGAAGTATAAGTGTGTATGTTTCATTGAAGGCAATTTTGTGATGTGTATACTGGTGTAGCATAATTATTGTAGACACAAGGTCCAAAATCATCTTTCCTTGTGTTTATAATGCATTGGCTCTTACAGCTATTTTAAGAGTTTGAGTTAGCAAGGTATATTTTCATTCATAAGGCACAGTTGTCTTAATTTCTTCACTCATTTCTTTACTTGACTTGCTCCTTCTTTGTGTTCTCAGGTGACGGGGTTGGATGGAAACTACCGGATTACGTGCCACACGGTGATGGAGGTGCTGAGAGAGCACAGAGACAGCGTCATGGCCGTGCTGGAGGCCTTCGTCTACGACCCCTTACTCAACTGGAGGCTTATGGACAGTAAGTGAACTCCTCTCATTTCCTTACTACAGTACACAGCACTAAAGGAATATGGTCTGCACGTTGTCCATACGTGATCAGAATGTTTCTGAAGTGCTTACTTTGAGATAATGGACTATAAGTGCCATGTCCAGTGTCATTTTCATGGCAAGACAAATGTGCGTGCGATTCATGGCCTCAATTGAGTGAATGTGTTCGGATAAGAACAGCTTGATGATAATGGGAAACATGCAGTGATCTTTATGTTTTATATAATACAGATTGTTTGTGTGTGAAATGGGATTAAGGAAGGTAATGAATAATTTATACAATAATAGATTAAATTAATAGTGCAGATTTATAAAGAAGTTACCATAAGACATTTTGAAAGCAGTTAAAAACAATGATGATGTGACACAGATGTATGATACATCCATACAAATTATATTTCAATACACAAAATATGCTTAGTGCTTCTAATATGTGGCTATATAGTAGAAGCTAATGGTAAAACTGTGATTGTATTATTCAAGATTATAAAGAAAAGCTCATACATAAAAAATTAGATTCTTAAACTTTGAATTAACAAATAAAGGAATTTTCACAAAAAGGTTAATATAATAATGAAGGTTTATGATTGAGATACAGAATATAGGAACTGACATTGATGAGTAATAATTTAAGTTCATGTTTAACTAAAATAGTGCAATAATATAATGAGAACCCTTTACATTATCATGGAATATCTGGAGTTTATGTTATGTGATCACATTTCTTCTAGCTAACACTAAAGGAACCAAGCGCTCCAGGACCAGAACTGACTCCTATACAGCTGGACAGTCTGTCGGTGAGTCTGTTGCCACGACCACCATTCATCCACATCAAAGAAGAAAGTCATTTTCAATGCTGGCCGATAAGAAATACGTTATATTATAAAAACTGAGAAGAAATGAGATGCGCACAAGGGAAAGGGTGCTATTTTTGCTCATTGTAACCAACCACTTACTTTGTGTCAATGGCAGAAACAATGGAGGGTATTGACCTGGGAGAAACCACTCATAAAAAGCCAGGAACCACCGTGCCTGAATCTATTCACTCGTTCAGTAAGTCTTCCCTTCCTTTAGATATATATTGTTGTCGAGTGTATCAAAGATCACAGAAAATGCATGTCAGATTTTTTTTTGAACGTCCAAACCATTACCGTCATTCTGTCTGTTTATTCTTAAAGAGATACATGAAGTTAGTCAGTTGATGTTTTTTTTTCCCCCATCACATTTTCTTTAACCAGTCGGAGATGGCCTTGTGCAACCTGAAGCCTTGAACAAGAAAGCCATCCAGATTATCAACAGGGTGAGGGACAAACTGACAGGTGAGTCATCCTCTAGCTCCTACACACAGTGTCCTTCTGGAGGAAAGTTATTTCATTTATTTATTCACATTTGCTCTGACCATGGCTTTAGCTGAACAGGCAGAAAAGCGTAGTTTTCAGTTGTATTGCTGGTCAAAAATCTTAAAAGCTACAGCTAAACCATAGATGTTAGGACCTCTGGATTAGGTACAATATGTATACAGTGTATATCAGCTAAGGCTATAACAGAATACCAAGATAAAATCTGAAATAAATAAACCTTTAACGTTACACTACACTGATATAGGTGATGATATCAAATAAAACATGCCCAGGTTTGTTAAGTTATTTGCAATATTCTCCAAGATTTTTAGCAACTTATCATGAAACATTGCAATATAATTAAAACGTGTCACTACTGTACACATCACACTGTGATTTTATCTTATACGGTTTCATCTCTCACAACAAATTATTTCTCATTGTAGGACGGGACTTTTCCCACGATGAGACCCTTGATGTCCCGACACAAGTAGAGCTGCTGATTAAACAAGCCACATCACATGAGAACCTGTGCCAGTGTTACATTGGATGGTACGTGTGTTTCCATTATCATCAATACAGACTACAGGAATATTTCAACAAATGAACACAATGTCATTGTTGCATGTATATGAGCTCAGTAAATGATATCACCTTGCATCTTGGACTAGTAATGAATAATTGACGAATGATTTTTTTTTTTTTCTCTCCTCAGGTGTCCGTTTTGGTAGAGCTGCTGCTGAGCCTTGTTTTGCTGTCTGTGTTATTTAATGATACACTTGAGTTCTATAATGCCATGTTTGAGACAAATCGGCTAAACAGACTTAAGAGAGCTGCATGAATTAGACATTTTAAACTATGTCTGACTTTTATTAATTTAATAATGGAATACATGAAATTATGAATGTGAGGGAGCTAAATACTTGATGAAGTGTTAATCCTGACAAATATCAGCATTTCTTTGACAATAAATTTTAAAGAAGTGTTCCTATGTCTTCAGTTTGTTTTGTTATGCATTTTCACACTAGACTCTGTATGACTTCCAGGTACAAAACTGTACTGTATACAAAACTGTGGCTCTGCAGGAACGGAAGACCTGTTTGGAAGCATGAGGCATTAATGGAAGTTTTCATATCCTTCAGTACAAACTGGAGTAGAGCTATGTCAGTTATAATACTCATTGTAATCAAAAGGAGTTAAACTTACGGGTATTATCAATCATTTCCCTGATGGCCTGTAGTTATATTTTCTAATATACCTCAGCACTTGATCCTAAGTTGATGCAGGAAGTCTCTTCTTGTGCTTAAGAACAGGTTTCTGTTTGTACCTTCCACTGTAAAAGCTTAAATCACTCCCAGTATCTTCAGTATCCGGATCCGAAGCCTATCTCAGGAACGCTGGGAGTGAGGCAGGAATACACCCTGGTGGGAGGCCAGTCCATCACAGAGCACCGTGCACACATACATTCAAGCCAAGTCAAGTAGATCATCACAGCCATATACAATGTGCAGTACACAATGTGATGAAATAACATTTCTCCTGGCCCCAAGATGCAAGATACATGTATGACATACACAGTGCTGACAAGACATAAATAAAGTGCACACACTCAATCACAGCTACAGGCAGTTTAGAGTAGCCAGTCCACCTGGCTACTGGGTTGGAGGAAACCCAGAGGAAACCCACACGGGCACGGTGAGAACATGTGAAACTGCATACTGAAAATAACCTGAGATCAGGATCAAACTGGGGACTCTGGAGCTCTGAGGTGGAAATGCTACCCGTTGCATCCAAATGCCGTCCCCGGTAAATTGAACCTGTTTAAAATAAATTAAGCACGGGTTATATTACACACACTCCTGAAGCTGGAACAGTCCAGAACTGGTTTTTACAGTGGAATGCTTCAAGAATGGAGGGAGAGCTGAAAGGAAATTAGAAGAAATGCAGCCTCTTACATGAAGCAGATTAAAACATTCACTGATTATTGAATGAATGACTTGAAATCTTTACTTTTACTTGCTTAAAGGTTACTTACTTTACTTTTATTTACATTACTTACTTTACATTTACATACTTATTTCTGACATATTCGGCAACCCATGTATTATGTGTTGCTGAATATTTCAGACCTAAATAAGTATGTAAAAGTAAAGTAAGTTTTGGGGGGCATGGTGGTTAGTGGTTAGCACGCTTGCCTCCCACCTCCAGGGCTGAGGGTTCGATTCCCGCCTCTGCTGTATGTGTGGAGTTTGCATGTTCTCCTTGTGATTTGGAGGTTTCTTCTGAGGACTCCAGTTTCCTCCCCCAGTTCAAAGACATACCTTGTAGTCTCTAAATTGTACATAGTGAGTTAATGGGTGTGTGAGTGTGGCAGGGTCCAGGTGTCCCCTGCCTTGTGCCCTGAGGCCCCTATGATAGGCTCCAGGCTCCCTGCAACCCGGTGTAGGATAAGCAGTACAGAGAATGGATGAATGGATGGAAGATAAATAAGTGGTTAACTAAAGGTAAACAAGTAAGTAACGTTTAAGTAAAGTAACAGCGAAAAGTGAGCATAAATTGTTAAATGCAGAAAATCTGCATCAGCATGCACTATGATGCTTGCTGTCCTATGCTTATTGCCCAGCAGATATCAGTGTAGAGCTCAGTGTCAAATGCTTCCACACTCCTAATCACATTACCTTCAAATCTGTTCCTTATAGTTCCATTTTATTCAAAAAGATCCAGTAATAATTCCACTGATTTACTTCAGTTAAGCTTATTGCAGCGCGGTGTATTTTCTCATCTCATCATATTTACACTAAAGCGAGCTGTCCCATAGCAACCCACAGAAGAAGATAAAATCACGTGGTTGTCGCAGTTCTCGCGATATTTTATTTGTCAGCATGGCGGCTTGCAGGAGCGGAGATGGCGGCGGCGCTAAAGAAAGTGAGACTTCTGTAAATAAAGATGCAGATTCAGAGACAGCAGAGTTTTGCCCAGGTTTTAAAGACGTGGATGCTTTTGTTAAGGTTAGTGGACGTTTCAGTGTTTTGTTAGTTTGTATCAGGTCTTTTTAGAGCGTTGTTTTTATGGTGTAAAAAAAATACACAGCAACGTGGGATTGTATCAGTGTGACGTCACAAATCGTCTCTATAATCAGTTCTAATATTTGTCTTATAAGGAATGAAACACTTGGGTGGCGTGCTGTTATAGGAAAATCATCAACGACGGGTCGATGGTTACCTTTGGTTACCTGTCCGAAGAGAGGATTTTTTTTTCAGTAACAGCACCACCAGAAGTGGATTATTCATCTCAAACCACAGAAATTATCCACTGATGACAATTTGTATTTATTCAAAAAGAAAAGCAGCACTTGTTTTTTTATCCGTTTATAGTTACATTTAATAACGTCACATAACCTCTGCGAGATGTCCATTATAACAGCTATCAACTATCTGTCCTACATTTTTCTCACTCTTCAAGACAAAAAAAAGTTGTCATATTGCAAAGAAAGCATAAAAACACAAAATTCTCCATTCTGAAGACTATCCCGTCATGCCAAACGTAGTTACAGCTTTACCTCTGACTGTTACAAATCATTGACACTGGAGACTCCTTCCATAAATGCTAAATAAGCGTCTCCTTACAGGACACTTCACCGTGTCTACGATTATACATTTTTATTTGTTAAATACTATGTTTTTGCAACGAATTTATTAGTCTTAGATTATGTGGCGCATCCACTATACAAGTGCCTATGACTTAGTCGTTACTATAGAAACGATTATGTATTAGAATAACATAACCGCATTAAAATAAAGCTGTGATTTGAATTACAGCCGGCACTACTATCAGACCTGCTGTTCTAGGAAATGAATCAACATCATCTCACCAATCAGAATTGAGAATTGAACAGCGCTGTGGTGGAACGTCAGATAATCTTATGTTTCTGTGTAGAAGTACCGACCATATCTAAAATTCTCTCTGAACAATATGACAGTCTCTGGTTCACTGAGTTAAAATCGTGCACTATATAGTGAATAGGGTGGAGTTTAGACATACAGCTGTGTAGTAAAGTATGTACTTTCTCTTCACAGTATGGACTCGGCTCTATCATGGCTGCTACAAAAGCGTCTGCGGGTTTGCCACAAGCAGGAGACGAATATGACTTTTACCGGAGCTTTCCGGGCTTCAGGGACTTCTGTTCAGTGCAAGGAGACCGACTTTTACACTGGTATGTCAGAATGAGTCATTTTCTTGTAATAATATCTATTTACAAGTAAACAGTGGAACAAAATGATATGTTTGTGCTGGAGCAACATTCAGGGGGGAGTAGGTAATCACAGAGTGCACATGACTAATAAAACATCAATGTATAAAATAGTTTCAGCAGAATAACAGTCCTTGGTTGATGTCATTCTGGAGACACGTTCCGAAATTAAGCATTCTGTAAAAGCCATCATCAACACAAAGACTTTAGGAATGTATCTAATATCGTGGGATGTTGCATGGTATTAATGCATCTGTACTGTTAAAGTGCTTCATGCTACTATGCGTTTGAGTATGATGTAAACGATAGACTGGTATAGTCTTATCAGAAACTTTGTTTTCAGATTCAGTTTTCTCACAATTCACAAGATTCACGCTCTCACAAAATGCATTATAATTAATCAGTTTGAGGTTCATGCTCTGCCCTGCAAAGTGCGAATATTCAGCCACAGAGAAGGATGAAAATAACAAAGAGAAAGTGCATGTTTCTCCTTCTTTGTAATACTGCAGATTTTACATTTCTGCGTTGTATAGACTGTTTATTTTTCTGATGCTTTAAACACTCCATTGCAGATGTCCATGTCTGGACTGGAGAAGCTTTTAGTAATAATTGCAGAAGTTGACCAGATTCTCTAGTTTGCACATAATCCCTTTAACAAATGAGTAAAAATTTTCTTGAGAGCCTTTTCATGAAGTTGTTGTTCCTCTTTCGGATGCTCCCGTTAGGGGTCGCCACAGCGGATCCTAGGATCATTGGTCCGCGTATTTGATTTGGCACAATTTTTACGCCGGATGCCCTTCCTGATGCAACCCTCCCCAATTTTATCTGGGCTTGGGACCGGCACTGAGAGCGCACTGTTGCATGCGGGTTGGTTCCCTGGCCGGGAATCAAACCTGGGCCACAGTGGTCCAAAGACCCAGCTTTTTCATGAAGTATTCCCTTTTAATAAATGGCATCATAGGTGTGATTCAGCAAACAATGTAGGATAAGACAGGTCAGTCTTTCCCCATGTCAGGTTGAGTATGTGTCATTGTGACATGGTGATTTATTGCATTAAAATGATAAAATGTAGCCATATGATGATAATACAGGCCGGCAACTATAGCATTTGCTTTCCAGACCGAGTACGAGTTAGCAGTCAGAGGCATCATGGAACATTTTCTTTAGCTCTGTTTATGTTGGTTGTTGCTATGTGCTGCTATCAGTGAACTCCTCGTGCTGAGTTTAAGCAGTGTGTTTAATAGAGCGAGCGAGGATGGACGACCTGAACACGCAAAGCATTATCAGCGAGTGTGAGTAAAAATGTGCCGTGAACTGCATCTTGACTTGCAAGCAAAGTGTAGACTTTGGCAAGAGAGGGGAAAGGAAGTGCACATCTCAGTGCTCAGTGCTCGCAGAAGTGAACTGCTAACACACCTTTATAATACCTTTGTGTGTGCACAATTCACGGAAACTTGCGCTAATTTGTAAATACCACGGTCACTGTTACTACTCTGCATGCTAAGGTTGGCTGACCTCGCTCTCTCTCTTTTTAAAAAAAAGATCTTTTTATCAGGTTACTATAGTACCTCCTCTTGATATATTTGCAACCTCTTTGCAATGATTGTTAATCATGAAATACATCCAGATCGTTGTCATTTTGCGTCGTCTGTTCATTAGTGAGACAACACACGCTATGCTTAGGTCTATAACATTATATCATGTGGTATCGGTGCATTTTAATGAGTATGGTATTAGTGTATCTATGGTTTTGTTGGTATTATGCAGTATTCTATTTGAAATACTTCAGAAATGACGCGAATGTGTGGCATTCATCCTATGTGTGCTCACATTAAAGATGATAATCATTAATAATTTTTGGTTTTGCTGTTTATTTCTGTTCAGTATGAGTCAGCTGATGCAGCACCATGGCTGCAGATCTCAGTTGAAAGACCAGAACAAGCTGACTGGCCTGGAGGAGCGCTTTGACATGGTGGTCGACTCCAATGATGTCATCCTGGAGAAAGTGGTACGAGCAACTGCTCACCTCTCTCTCTCTCTCTCTCTCTCTCTCTCTCTCTCTCTCTCTCTCTCTCCTGACATGTAACATGTGTCAGGGATCCACACTGCCTTTTTTTTTTTTAAAGCAAAATGCAAATGCGTTGAAATTTGTTGTGACGTCTTTTCTCAGTGTACATGTTCAAGCCTTGAAACTTTTTTTTTATTTTTTTTTATTTTTATAAACAAATCTAACCTACTAATTTTGTCTTGAACTCCCATCAGGGGATTTTGCTGGACGAGGCGTCTGGAGTGACCCGGTCGCAGCCTGTTATGCCTGCAGGCTATCAGCCTCCCAAAATTGTTGTGTCTAGTTGGAATCGCAAGGTGAGCATGTTGTTGTATTGTTTGTAAGCTTAAATCTTACTCATTGCTAATAATAAACAGAAGTGACATAAGGAGCAGCTCCATAAGCAAGGTTTCCCTCTGCAAGTTCTCATTTACATTCTAGCATTAGGGTTCCTTCACAGTTGCCATTTTTTCCTCTCGACTCTCAGCACACGTTTTTGACGTAATCCTTCGGGAAGCGTCCTCAAGGTAGCGCCTTTTTCAAAAGACACTGCCGTTTTATGGAAAATAAGTTTCAGTGACATCAAGCACTTTACCTTCTGACCAGTCATGTGACAAGTTGGGGATCAGACAAGAAAACTAACACGGAGGACATGTTGTTGGTGAAAAATTAATCATGTCAGTGAGTGAATATCAGGAGATTTACATCATGTTGAATCAAAACATTCCATTGCCAATATTTCAGTGTTGCGATCTAACGAAAGTAACATCCACAATACACAATAGCTTGCTGTTTTTGGATCATTGAGCAGTACATGATGTGGCGCTCGGGTCCCACTTTAACTGTGGCTGCACACATTCAAGTCACACAAGCAGCTCAAATTCTGATTTTCTGCCTCCAAATCCACAGCGAAGGCCAACATCTTCCTCCTCATCATCATA